CGACCCGTAGATCTGACGAAATGGCCTTCCTTTTTTTTTTTCTTCTCTTCTCCCCAGTGCCCAACCCAAGCGGGCCACTCGAACAAGTAAGCGGACCTGCCGATCGCAGCGGGCGATGGCAGGCGATGGGCGACGGGTTCTGTCAAGCGGAGAGAGCAATATGGTACTTTTCAGATCGCAACGTCTCCATCGAAGTTGGATGTTAGGCTAAGAGTCGGGCGGGAGCGTTGGGTCAAAGAAAGAAGGAAGAAAATAGAAAATGACCTCTCTGGCAGACGATGAGTGGTGGAGCGCACTGCAGCTGCAGAGGTTGGGTTGAGAATTTGGGATCCTCTGCCTGACGGTCTTAGAACCCAGTGGGGAGAGTGGAGTCGATGGGCAGCGATAAAAAAAAACCCAAGTGAGGGGTGATCTGATTGATATCTAAAAGGAGAGAGAAGAAAGAGAGAGAGCGATCGAGAAAAAGGAGAGGAATATAGAGAATAGAAAGAGAAAGAGAAGGGAGGAAGAGTAAACACCCGAAGGCACAGGGCACAAGGGGTAAAAAAAAAAGAGAGAAAAATCAGAAAGTTTCACGAAGAGGCTCTCGGTACCCAACACAAGAAAAAAAGAAGAAAGTGGGGGACAGCGTCATCAGTGTTTTATCTATTTATCTATTTAGCTCACATATATTATTGTATACAGAGGAGTATTCCGTACAATATACTTGCAATTCGAATTATTTATTTACTTTTAAGCTCGGGACCCGCTGGAGGGGAAATCCTTGGTTTGACTGCTAGGATCCATGGTTGGCCTTTACCTTCTTATCTTTATTTACTTCCAAGGTCCTTTTACTTCTTTCCCTTTTCTACTATTTTCATATTCGTTTTTTTTACCCTCCCGTGTTTGAATGGATTTTCGTGCTGAATATTACGAAGATGTCGCATTCCTATTTCTCCCTAAAGTGCATCCCTAACGCCCAACCGGGTTTGCGGCCCAATGATCGCCTCCACCAGAAAGGGTCTTCCCTGTCAATTAAAGAGGAACCTGTTCCTCTACCGAAAATCGGCTATGGCTCGTTTCCCGGTCAATTCAGTTTATTCCGCTCTCCAAATTTTTGATCATTTTCTGATTCCGTGTATAGTGGTCAATGCAGGGCCTCGAGTACAATGACAATGTATCCGGTACACAGGAAAAAGTCGGTGGGGATGACACCCTACAACCCAGGCTGCAACGCAGAACTGCTGAGGTGACCCCTACTACTCCGTGCTCCCTCATAGTATGTACGATGTAGGCAGATATCTGTAGGTATCGACAACGAAGTCTGGCAGAATCGCCACTGTGGAGTGAGTCAGGTCTACTCTTACCATAGAAACCACAGATGTCAAACGGCACTAGAACAAGAAGAGGGACTGAGCACTGC